GTTGTCGATGTCACTGCGCAACTGGGGCGCATCACGACTCTAGTCAAGGTGGTTACTTAAGCCACCTTTCCACCAGTCAATTTCAGAGCTATAATGTTCACGTTGTCGGGCCCTGGGTCCGAGATTTTCATTTCCCTGATACCGTTTTTCGCTTCGCCATCAGCTTTTTTCTGATATCCGCTAGAAAACTTGATGCTATGAAGGGCACCTTTCAATTCGTATCTTCGCAAGCGGTAATACCACTTGTCCCCAGGCTTGCTTTGTTAAGAGTACTCAAGTTGCGTTAAACTTGCGTAGGCGTCACCAACCTAAACATCGCAGGCGTCGCACACCGTACCAGCCTGAAAAGGTTGATGACAGTCCCACAGTTTACACGTCTCCGTCTGGCGGATGCTGTGATGAGAACATATGCTGAGGGGAGAAAATAAACCGACACGAAATACCGTGGAAAACTGAAAAGAGGTACGGCTCTAGTCTTAACAAATTTCATCGAACATGTGACCCAGATGAGACCTAAGAACCCAAATCAAACAGAAATGTACTTAAAAATGGGGGAAGGCCTACGGACTTAAGACCCAAAGAGAATACTGATGTTGAAAACCAGAGCTTCTGTTGTGTCACTGCACAGCAGGCTATTGTAATCTGGCTAAATTCCTTCATCCCCATCCTTCGTAATCCGGAAAGATTTTGGATCGTTAAAGGGCTATAATGCCATTTATTCAATTGCTGACCAGTTGAACGGAAATTAAAGGTTAGTCCTATCGACAGAATTTAAAAATCTATATCCAGTCGTGTTTCAAAATTATCACCCTCATATCTACATAAGTGCAATAAACATAGATGAGCCGAAACCCAACGAAAGCTATGCATCTGTTTCAGTTTACATCATTTGTTGTTAATCATTGCCGGGTACGTTTCTTCCTGCTAGGTTAATGTAAAAGTGTGTCTGTCCGCCAATAAAGCACTTGCCTATAACTTCCTGTTTTTGTACTTTAAGCAGGAATGAGATGGAATAGACCTCATTCCCCAACTTTACTCTCAACTGTCTTAAAGTTGTTTGGTACTGATGGACCAGCAGTGCTGAAATAAAAGGAAGGACTACAGAGTTCAACTGGCGTTTACACCGTCAACTTCTGGTGTTCAACCCCTACCAGCTGACGAGATGTGAGTTCGGCTTGAATTTCGGCAATCGAGCAGTAATGATTGTCCTCAGGGAATGACAGATTAGGAACTGAGTAAGAGATTTTACTCATATTATAAGGTAAAGAGCAGAGGTAAGCGGAGTTTCGCCTTTGAGAAAACCGATGAAAATTGGAGCGCTACAAGGCACAGAACCTCGCCTGGCTAACTAGTTCACTACTTACTAGCCGGTCCTAAGCCCGGGTAAAGAGGGAAGGTTGGGCATAGGGCTAGCAACCCTACCCCAGAAAACAAATCTAACCGCTAAAGAAACTTCAAAGCACAAACGATATATAAAAAATAATAACAAAATTATTCCTCGCTGGAATCGGAGAGCCGAAATGACACCAGTTGGTGAAAGCCTTCGGGAAGTTAATTGGCCGGTGTGTCTTCTCTCTCTCGATGAAAGCGAAAGTAAACGTGGAGACATGGAATGTCTGCACGATGTTTTAACCCAGCAAGGCAGCCCAGATTGCAAACGAGATGAAGAGGTATCACATTGAAGTGCTTGGAATTTGCGAAAGCAGATGGAATGGGAGTGGACTCTCCAAACTGTCAACTGGAGAGGAGAATCAATAATCTACTCCGATATTGTCACCCAGACGACAACCACGAGCACACTGAGATTCGGCTATCATGATATCCTCAAGAGCATCGAAGGCTCTCATGCAGTGGGAACCAATCTCCTCCAGGATCATGACAGCAAGATTCAACTCAAAGGACGGAAGGTCACAATCATACAATGCTATGCACCTACAAATAATGCAGATGAAGAGAAAAAGGAGGAATTCTACAGACAACTTCAATCAACACTGGACAAGACGCCAGTTGGTGATATCAAAATTCTAATGGGCGACATGAATACCAAACTGGGAGTGGACAACACGGGAAGAGAACTAACCACGGGCTGAGAAGCGGTAGGTGAAATGAACGAGAATGGACAATCGTTTACAGAATTCTGTGCATTCAACGATTTGGTGATTGGAGGCAGTGTGTTCAAGCACAAGGATATCCACAAAGCCACATGGATTTCACCAGACACTAGGACACACTAAAAATCAAATCGACTTTATCCTAATCTCAAGAAAATGGAGAGGCGGTCTACTTGACACAAGGTCAAGAAGAGGAGCAGATGTAGGTTCACACCACTATCTAGTGCAAGGGACATTCCAAATCAAGTTGAAAGCCCTCAGTTCAAGGAAGCTGATGATAGAACAGGGTTCAAGTACGACACTTGGAAACTGTAGGATGAAACTACAGAGGAAATCTTCACGGCAGCCAGCCATCAAAACAAAATGGGGGATATCGAGGAACATCCTTGAAGAAATCTGTGTGCAAGAACACTGGAAGTTTTTAAAAGAGATGTGGAGAGAAACCTGCATAACCGTGTTGGGTAGGAGGGAAGAAGAAAGAAGATAACGAATGGATCTCGACGGATACCTGGAAGCTGATAGAGGAGGGAGAGGAGGATGGTGAAACAGAAGATAAACCAGTGCATGGATGCACAACGAGAAGAGGAACTGAACACGATGTATAAAACACTGGAGAAAGAAGTGAAGAAGAGTGCACGGAAAGACAAAAGACACTTCTATGAAACACTGGCAAGTGAGCAGAACAGGCTGCAGGTAGGAGAGACAGAAACCTGACAACACTATATCAAATAACCAGGTTACTTGCTGTCTGGGAAGAGGTCAACACAGCATAGACGAAACCAATAAAAGATGATGAGGGAAATTTAATTACGAAAGAAGAGAAACAAAGGAAACAATGTGCCGACCACTTCAAGAAGCTCCTGAATCGACCACCACCTGCACTTCTTCCACAAATACCACCAGCAACCCAGCCACAGAACTACAAGTGAACATAAATCCCCAACGAAAATGGAAGTCCTGAATGCCATAAAGCTACTGAAATGAAGGAGAGCAGCAGGACCAGATGGGATCCCTCCAGAAGCACTGAAAACAGATGCAGAGACAACAGCGGACATGCTCACACCACTATTGCAGAAGGTGTGAAAGGAAGAGAAGGTACCTACTAGTCGGTGAGAAGAAGGGTTACCTTGTCAAACTCCCGAAGAAGGGAGACCTCAGTGTTTGCAAGAACTGGTGTGGAATCACTCTCCTGTCCACCCAATGCAAGCAAAATGTTAAGCCGCATCATCCTGGAGAGGCTAAAGGATGCACTGGATTCAAAACTACCACCGGAACAGGCAGGCAGGCAGGCTTCAGGAAGTAAAAATCATGTGCAGACCAAATTGTAACGCTTCGCATCATCATAGAACAGAGTATAGAATGGCAGTAAACCCTCTACCTCAACTTTATCGACTTGAGAAGGCCTTTGACAGTGTCGACCGAGAGGTAATTTGGAAACTGCTTCGTTACTACGGCATACCATAAACCTTTATCAGCCTCATTCAACAACTATATGAAGACATCACATGCCAAGTAGTTGACAATGGGAAGCTCAGTGATGCTTTTGAAGTGAAGACGAGAGTGAAACAAGGTTGCCTACTATCCTCCATGATATTCCTGATTGTGGTCGACTGGATCATGCAGATCATGGAGATGGATAGGGCATACACTGAGAAGGCCGACTGGAGACATCACGCGTCAGGCCAGTCACTCGAGTGGAATCCCCATGGGAAGCGACGAGCTGGACGTCCGAGAGTGGCATGCAGAAGATCGGGTGAGGAGGAAATAAGAGCTTGTGGTTTGTCGTGGAGCCAGGTTCAAAAGATTTCAGAGAACAGAGTGGAATGGACACGTGCTACTGAAGCCCTATGTTCCATTAGGAACCCAAGGGACTAATAATACAAGGCACAGCCTTGGTTCCGCTTTTCTTCCCACTCCACCTGAAGTTTTTGCTCAGTAAGACTAGGTATTCTACCCTTAAGTTTGTACTGGATGTTGAACTCTGGAGACCCGTTCATGGTAGTGAGGGCAGGCTGCCCCTACGCGACGACCCGTATGCTTTAGCAGGTCGTCCCACTGGTTGGTGTGCAGTAAGTGATGCCACCAAGAGTTTTACCGTGTGTCAAGGTCACGGTAATTCAAACGACCAGTTAGTTGGCACCATTATACTGCCCAAAGTAACCGAATTCAATGGACATGGAGGTAACAATCAACCACTAAGATAAAACATCAGCACACTATACAGCGTCAGGTTCTAGAAACTTTCTGATCCTGTGGTCCTTGCTTAGAACCTTCAAAGCTTTCATGAGATGTCTCGAGTTTTTTTGCAATATGTTTAAAATAACAGTGTCGAAAACCAGCAGGAAAAGAATGCTTAGCGTTTAGTACCAATATACCGACACATAAACTAGCCAGTTGTGAGTTCATGAACAAGGATTCTTAGCATAACAAAGGAACCTGTCTAGTGGAGTGGTTGATTAATTGTATGCCCTTAAGTCAACAAGACAGTTAAATTATGAGTTTTGAGTTTTGTCAAAAATGTTGGAATTTTAGGCGATTCTCTCGCAGAACTGTTAGCTGCTACAGATACTTCAGGCCTCCATCTAGATAGTGCTCCATGGGCAACGCCTGTGAAACACATACAAAGAAAAGGTTTTCCGCAAACGTCATTGACACTAATATGCATGGTCATCATTACCTTTCTCCTATTGCCACATCACAAAGAGTTATCAAATTTTGATGAATGCGTTCAGTTTGGAAAGGGATGTAGATAAAGATTCTCATTAACATAGTTGGCATAAGCACACGATTTAGTTGGTCTGTTTACTGAAGATGAAGTAACTCGAACAATTCCATGTCCTTGGCTATTGTGTTTAAATAATTGAAGCTTAGTGACAGAGTATACGTTGTTTTTTAAACTTGGGTTAGTTCGTTGATTTCGTGAAACCCTAAAATTGTGTCCTTTATGGCATAAAAAACGGTGCAAAACTAAAGATTGAAAATTTTTATCAACATTTCAGTGATTTTTGCCTTTCGATATGTTCTTTTTGAAACCTGGTTTTCAAAACTGGACGAAAATCCAGGAATGAGCCCAGTCAACAATTTCCAGTGGCCAAACGAGCATGTTTGAGGTGAATTTGCGTTAAAAACTTAGCTTAAAACAAAGGTAAGAATAGACGGTTTGCGGCTTTACCCTTATATCGTGTTGGCTTTATTGCAATAACTATTTCTATGTAGTTTTTCAGTTTTCAGTTATATGGATAGTAGGCCAGTTTAGCTGTAGTAATTCTTGCAGAAGATACCTCTTTAAAGATCTGGTTTCTCTTTGAATGCGTTGAAAGAAGGTACTGGTGTTACTTGCTGAGGTAAGGAGTTCCAGTCTTTGAGTACACTATGGGAGAAACGCAGATTCACACTAAGTTGATTCTATAGCGGTTTTTGAGTTTTCTTATGATGCCCTCGGAGATAGTCAGTCTTAGAAGGGGATAAAAGATAGGACGTACCACTACCAAAGTCATTACTAAGGTTACGAAATGCCAGTGTGAGATCATCCCGTTTCCTACATTAAGACAGTGGGAATAAGTTTAGCTAACCTAGTCGTTCCTCATACGACAGATTCAGAAGGCCTGCCAAAAACTTAGTACCTACTCGTTGAACACGCTCGAGTATGTCAGCATCCTTTTCAGGCATAAGCTGGCCGCTTACATGCAGTATTCCAAGTGAGGTCCAAAGTAACTAGAATAGAGTATTCTGAACACATCCTGATCAAAACTTTTGAAAGCTCTGCGGACGGACCGTCATCCACGGAAGACCTTTGCTGCACCTGCATTACAGTTTGCTGAGGTTTTCAGATCATGACTGATTACACCCAAATCTCTTAGTTCAAAGACTGGGAGTAGTGATGTACCATCAACGGAATACTGGAATTAATTGCTATGACCAATTTGCATTATTACACTTTTGTTAGAGTTGGTTTCTGGGCACCAATGTTTGGTCCGAATTATTATTTCATCTACAGCTGCTTGAAATGCATACTTATCACCATCACTGCGTATGGCTCTCCAAATCTTTACATCATCGGCGATTAGCAGTATCAAAGAGTTGAGCATTTGCAGTAATTCGTTGATATATAGTCAGGAAAGTAGTGGATTCAGGATTTTTCCTTGAGGAACTCCACTCATCACATGTTTCCACTCGGACAGCATCCCATTTACTCTCATCCTTTGCCTTCTGTGGCACAGAAAGTCCGTAATCCAGTCTTGTAGTGAAGCACCAAACCCAAAAGAAGAGAGCTTTCGTAGTAATTTCACATGCAACACTTTGTCAAATGCCTTACTGGAGTCTACAAACATGGAATCTACTGTCAGCTTGCAATTAAAGGCTGCAACTCATTCCCCTCTTGCGATAAGGAGGTTAGTTAAACAGGAGTACCCATTACGAAAACCGTGTTGCTGTAGTGCCAAAAGATTGAGTGATTCAATATATTTAAGTACCTTACCACGAATTACGTTTTCTAAAATCTTAACAACTATGCTAGTTAAACTCACAGGGCGATAGTTAGACACCAACAAGCAACTACTGGCCTTAAAACTGGGCTGATTATGGCATCTTTCCAGTCTCTAGGGAGGCAAGTCTGGGTTAAAAACATATTGAGAAGATCCGTGACTGAGTGAGCAAAAGTGTCCACTAGAGAATATAACGGTTTGAGATATAACTCATTTGGACCCTAGGATTTTCCAGGTTTAAGATTAATGAGCAACCGTAAGACTCTTCCCTTTGTTGTGAACACCGTAGCTATTAGTGGAGCAGTGCTGACACCACTATTGAGCATCTCGTCGTCATGATCTACAGGAGAGACTTCACCAAAATAATCCGATAGATATTTAGCTTTAGACAGATTAGATTTCACCTGACTATCGGACTTTTCATCCGTTGCCAGGGACGGAATTCCACATTTTCTTTTAGTCCTCCTTCTGATGAATGCCAGAAGTTTTTTAGGACAATTATGGCAATCCCTTACAAGTTGTTTCTCATAGGACATTTGAGAATGTATGATCAAAGTTTTCCAGGGGTTACGGATTTTACAATACCCAGTCTTAAATGTTTCCAGTCCAGTTTCTATAAACAAGCCCAGTAAATGTTTCCTCTTAATAGTTTCTGAGTGTCTTCAATTAACCACGGAAGGCGATGTGAAGAACTGTATGGGGTCGAACATGGAATAAATAGCGTCGTTACCCCCTTTAGATAGAGTCCTAAACCTATTCCATGCTCCCTCAATTGATGAGTCTTTGTCGACGGTCCAATCCTTACTGACTGCACAATCCCTTATACTTGAGATATCTGCACATCATACATTAGGTCTAAGGGAAGCAGTATCATAACCAAACTCATTAGTCCAAAATCGAAGGTTAGCACTACATAATCGCCGTTAGCTAATGGAGGGAAGTATCGTAGATTCAAAATGTCTTCACATTGGTGGGTTAAAGCTAAATCTTATAACAATAGCTTGTCTTCATAATCGTAACTTGTTGCACACGTTGCATTTTGAACTAAAGCAGATCCTAATACTGTCAAAAGTAAGTCATTTTCGAAGGAACTTCCCGATGCTGAGACTATTAGCTCCATTCACTTTATATATGGAGCATTCAGATCCCCAAAGATTAGGCATCTGTAGCTTCTACTCCAGTTACATATGTGGCTTAGCAAGGAGTCATTTTCAAGACAGGATGGACTATGGAAGATGGGAAAAACCTATCACTAGTTTAGTAATGATGACTCAAGCATCTCAGGTATTTTATTAGACGTGAAGATGGAAGGATAATGCTTCAAAAATAGTGCCTTGGAAAACACCACTAGTGAGAGGTTACGCTTGCACAGCATTAAATTTACTCCCACGTTTTACCCTCTCTCATGTAAGTATTCCCTAAATCACGCATAAACCTTACTGTCAGTACCAAGCGCGCGAGAGTCATGTGTCATACCTTGTCAAAAGCTTTACCAAGGCCAATAAATACCACGTCCACATGGGGCTTTTCATCACTATCCTATTTTGCCACATATTTTACTTCCCCAAATGAAAAAAGACAGGGATTCCCTCCCTTTTTAGTCCTCTCCCATATATGACAGAACAGGAGTTTAAGGCACCTCGAAGAGTTGCCCAATAACCGACCCTTCAAATGCTGTGAGGCGTATACTGATGATATATTAAAATTTTCCTCTTGCGTTACAAGATTAAAGGCCAAACACTTCACTGCTTGTAGCCATGAATTCATCTCATAGGCATTTTCTCCATTTTTATAACTTTTAGGCTTACCTGTCAATTGAAGTCGATCTATGATGAGGTTTCCGAGAAAGTGACCACTGAATAAACAGTGACGTTACCCCATCATATGTATTTCTAAACCTTTTCCAAGCGGATAACCTACATCAAGAGACCTGTCGCTGGGAAGAAAAAGCAGTGGGAACAGAAATTCTCGTAAACTCTTGATCAGAAGATATTTGTAAGTATATATTAAAACTTTCAGGGGTTCTAGTGCCTTCATCAGGACAATAATTGGAAAACAAGATGTTTTTTTCGACTACGCCATCAAAATCGATTCTACATGAAAATGTAATATCAGTAATTAGTAATAGTGGAATTGTAGATTAGGCCGTTAAACTACACTGCAGATGATAATTCTCCAAAAGTTGTGTTCACTACCAGAAAATTGTTTCCATTGGTGACATCTACCAAATTCTTTCAACCTGTACTCACCACAAAAGAAGCCCCTAAGTCATCTTAAAACTATTCTAGAATCACATCCCTACTTGTCTTTGATATGGAACATGGTGATACAATGTTATTTATCTGATGACTTTTCGAGCACAATTTTTTTTCTATTAATCATATCAGCATAACCACACAAATTTTGACATCTAAATTTTATGGTGCTATCACGTCATATTCTTTGTTTATGGTGGTAGTAAAATTTTACATATCTCCGGTGTGAGTACTGCGTCATTCCTATTGCATGTACTGGGTGTTGATTGATAAAAAAAGATTCAGTAATCAATCTTTCTCTCCATCGAAATAAACTGAACTTAAATGCAGTGGTCTTATCTCACTTAATTGTGCTATTGTGTTTTAACCCATGCATTGCAATAGCTGGGATTTTTCTAGGTTGTTGATTTTGTTAGGGTCTGACACGTTACGTTTAGCTAAACTCCTATGTTCCGATAATCTAACTGATACTGATCGGTTAGTTTGGCCTATGTACTTTATCTCTGTCATTGGGTGGAATTCGGTGGATCAAATTATTTTTCTTAATCTGGTCTATTGGATCCTTAAGCTAACAAATTTTATCGCTGACTGAATTTCTAGTTTTGAATGTCATCCTGACTCCAGCCTAGTTGATAGTCCTAAGTAACGTTTTCAATGTTCCTCCCTTATACTTCATACAAAATCTGAAACTATTGATTTCCACCACCTCACAGACCCTGTCTAACCAAGCATATCACACCTCTCCACATGGTAAATACCAGCAGTTAAAGACTTCAGTAACTGAAGCCATATCTTTGTATGTTTGTCTAAAACAAGTTTTCCTCAATGTGATCTGAAAATCAACCACAGCTTAAATATTCCCCTACTGGACCCTTAAGCTATCTCTGTTAAGAATATACTCGTAATTAAACTTTAACGAATTGTTAAATGGACATTACCAGTGAACAATAATACATTTTCAATCATCTTATCATTTTATGACACAGTTGCTTTGTTTATAATCATGAAAACAAGTGCATATATATATATATATATATATATATTAAAGCAACGGAAATAAACAGTCATATCCTGTCTATGACAGCTGATTTGTTTGATTAGTAAGCTTCATAAATATGAAGCGGTAGAAAATATTTGTAGCTCAGGGTGAGAATAATGATGCTTTGGTGTTCTCTGAGCTCAGAAAATACCGAGCGAAACAAATATATATTCTCATTAAATGTTCAATGGTGATGTTTTGTTGTTGAAGGAAGTAGAAAAATAACTGAGATTCACTAAAACAAAAATTTTAAAATCATTTTAGTGTTTCGATTCTTGCTTACTTCAAAAAATATTTCAGTATTTGAAGTAGTTTAAATCCATTGCTGAACTCTTAATGTTCTGATTACCGAGTAAATCCAAAAATCTCTAAGATATGCATTTTTTCTGACTATTGGATTCCTTAGATAGAATCTCTTTTGAAGCAAAGTTCTACATAGGTAGGTAACTCTAACCGGTAAATATTTGTTACAGTTATCTGTTTAAATTGATTCCACAGCAAGCATATTGTTTCATTTGGAACTACTAGACGAAGATAAAAGTGACCATATTTAACAACACACTAATAGGTAATGTCAGGCTAATTTATTTCCTCGACTATATGAAACTCGATTTCCCCTTCATTTAGTGCCCTCTAGTTTATAGAGAGAAATACTAACAAATTTACTGATTTTTAATCGAAATCATTATTGGTTGGTACCACTGAGTTCTTAATATTATCTAAGAACTTATTTTATGAGGAAATGTTGAAGCTTAAAATTACACGCTCTCGGGTAACTAAAGACACCTAATGGGATTACGTGAAAAGTGTAAGGTATGTGCTCCAAATAAACAGTCATTAGACCAATGGAATTATTCAAGGGTTTCAAGTTACTGCAGTCAGCTGGTCATTAAAAATCCTCAATCAAAGCCAATTATGTGGCTTTAACCAGTTGGTTAACTGAAAAGAACAAAACGCGTAGGAGAGAAATTTTTGATTTTCTTTTATGTATCCAATGTACCACTAGTATTTAATTGTAGCAAGGAAGATAGAACAACTTAGATACTTATACAACAGTTTACTAGTTTATAGCTCTTAAACACTATCAACTTATAACGTATCTAAAACAAACAGGTGCATGCAGTTTAACGATTTAAAACGTACATATTTTCAGATTTATCATGTGTAGGCTAAATATCTATCAAATTATAAAATTTTCAATCACTTAGCTCAACAAATAAAGCTAAAACACATATGAAGTTTCTTCAAAAAACACATCTTTTCACCATATCTTACTGAACATGTAACTTACAGTCAAAACAGGAAAATTCTCAACTATCTGTGTACTTCAAGTATAGTGAAAATTTTATGCGTCATTTTCAAAGGGGACCAAAGGGAAATGCTGAACTAATGTTTCGCACTTGTTAGCACTCAGTAGCACGGTAAACCTATAAATCTGAGGGAACTCATACTAAACGGAGGGTTTAATTTTTTCCTTCCAACCTTACAGTCAGAGAAGCGGTTAATTAGCTGCTTGACTAGTAATTAGTCACTTTAAGAAGCCCTACTGTACACACCGACAAGCTACGAGGTTCAATTCTGCTACGACTGAGCATCAGACCAAGCTATAATGGAATGTATTTAGTACCGGGTTTTTGTAGGCAGACATGAAATACCATACAATACTGATTTAAACCGCCTAAGTCATCACACATTTTCACGAATCAAACCCACCTAGTGTTAACTGACAGAGTGCAGTAAATGATTTTAAATTCATGTTTCTTTTCTATATACATTTAAGCAGTTAGCATTTCAATATCTCACCATGGTTGGTGTAAACTACTTAATAATTTTTCTAAAATATTTTAAGTCAGATGATGTACCTCCTGGAATCAGTTGAGAATTTACGCCCTGTGCGGGAAACTGAAACAAAAGTGACAAAATCCTATTCAATAAAAAAGGAGCGCAACACTGCTAGTTGCCAAGCTTTACCACCACCTTCTATAAGATTACGCTTAGATGAAGCTTTAGAAAATGCTAGACGTAACCGTCAATCGAATGTATTTCCTAGTAGGAACTCAACTATTTCGAACATACCGTGGAGAAAGGCGAAGAAAGGGACGACCAATGAAGATGATTCAGACTCATCGGAAATATCACAAATGGCTCAGTAAGTTCAATATTAGCTCATTAGGTCATATTTGATTATGCACGGGGACCTGAAACTGCTTCATGGAAAACCTTTTAAATTCTGTCCAAAGATGAAAATGCTTTAATATCCTGCCGGAACTTATATTTTGAAACAGACATTTCGAAGTCATCAGTACTAACTTCATAAAGAAATGAGTCATAGTCAAGTGTCACAAGAATAATTAAGTGATGTTTTCATCGACCCCGAGTACTATCCAGCTGTGAGTTTAGGAAGAGAAATCGGTCACATCTCCACCTCTTTGACCTTAAATTTCATTGGGTTACACTGTAAGAGAATCGTTGTTGAGGTGAAACTGTTTAGTATCTCAATAACATTGTGGTTAAATTGATATTGGTGGCTAGTGGGGGAATCCAGGACGCAAGTTTCATTCTGTCTAGGACTTGTCAGCTGGATGTACCTGCACCCTAGTGAGTAATGCCGTTCGCACTGAGACCCAAACCTCGTACCCATCGCTTCAAACGCTAGAGCGTTATCTACTAAGCCACTGGGGCACGATAGCCGCCTCTAATGCAAAGGGAAATTACAAACATCGTAACAACAGTTGATACCCATTGGACAAGAGGTGGCTATCGTGCCCCAGTGGCTTACTAGATAACACTCTCGTGTTTGAAGTGATGGGTACTGGGATTAAGTCTCAGTATTGGTAATATCACTCAGTGGGGTGCAGGTACATCCAGCTGACTAGTCCCAAATGGAATGAAGTGAAATTCCTCTGCTAGTCACCAGTATCAACACAACATGAGTATCCGGAAGTACAGGGGAATCCTTTTAAGGAGTTCATCTGCCAACAGATGTCGAGCAATTCGGCCCTTTATAGCAACGGAAAATTAAAAAAATCACAAAAATTATGCTTGAAAATTGATTTCTCTGGTCAGTTTTCAACTATTTGATGGAATATTGCCCTCATCTCAAGTAGACTGTAGATAGTCTGTATCCAAGTGTCTGTTGATTAACAACACGATTTGATCACCAGTGGTTTGTGAGTGGATCTGGCTATCTAGTACTGTGTGCTGATCGAAGTCAATCGATCAAGTTCCTGGATTCACATTTTCCTACCGATTGACTCGTAACATCTAACACCAAAATGTTTTTGAACGTCAAGCTTCCACAGAAATTCATTTGCAGCTTTAGGACCCGTCTTCTGTAGGATTTTCATATTCTATCATTCGAATTTGTGCATTGTTAAGCTGGGGATGAAATTTCATGCCGCTTCACTGCTACTTGAGGTTTGTGAATTCTTTGAGTGACTCGACAGCTACAGTATCCAGTACTCTATTGTGACTAATATTACCCCTTATTCTCTTGGTGATACATCGTTTTGTCATATACAGGATGGTCTTTCTCGATTTCGCTGTTTAGTCTACCACTCAAATACCAAACGGATAGACTTAGATTAACCTGATATTTCACAGCTTCATACCCCAGTTTTGTTCGAATTATGTGCTTCATATAGTGGACTGTAGCCAATTTATAGGCTAAATACACATCCATAGTACTCTGTTTCAGGATAGTTCAGGTTTTATTTATGTCGGTCATTTAACTCACTTGACTAACTTTTGTAGTAAATACACTCGTTGTCTGCATATCTCATATGTTGGCTATGTTGGCTATTAAACCATTTTTGTAAAGTGTAAGGAAGATTAAATTGTTTCGACTAGAGAAAAAGTGATTTAACAGTGGTAACATTTAGAATGAAACGTTATAGTACCGTGTGAGCACATACACAGATTACCAAGTGATCCAACTCAGGACAGTAATTTCAAAGCGTTCAACCACACATTGTTCAGTTTTCTTGGACTTTTGTTGAGCTTGAATCTTTTTGGGCACTGTAGCTGACCTCACTTTCGATTACCGCTTTTATAGTGACAGAAAATCGACTACTTCTGAGCTGCAAATAATTACCACTGAATTGAAAGCAAACAGTTTATTGTGTCACAAGCAGATTTAAGTGTCGGATGATGAAGTTTTTCTTCTACGTACTTGAATTTTATAACATCTCTACCTCGATAACTGAACGTTAAACACTGCCACCAATATTACCAATACTAATGTTATAATAATAATAATAATAATAATAATAATAATAATAATAATAATAATAATAATAATAATAATAATACTTCTACTGCTACTAGAAGAAGCGCTAAGGCAGTTTCAATTCCTATGCTGAGATGCAAATTTTCTTTTAATGATAAAGTATTTAAAATAACCCACCGATATACGATAGGGTGAAGTACATCCGGATCTCCTGTTTGTATACTAGCGTAAACTCTTTTGATTAGTGAATTACAGAAATATCGAAGACTGGTTTGTGTGATGTTATTATATTATATCATATCATTGAAATGTACACGTGCATCCTAAACTGTCTAAACTAAAGCTGAGGGCATAATATCCACACAGCTCTTGAACTCATCGAAAATAACCAGTCAAACTGAACTAAAGTAAAGTGACATTTTATGAATATTTACTAACAGCCAATTTGTCTCTGCTTATGAAACGCTCATGATAGCCTCTATCATCACATTAAAAAATTCGTCAGCCAGAAACCCAACCCAAACAAAAGCGTAGTCCGAAAATCTACAACGTAAGCTACAAATATTGTCCACCACGGAAATTTTTGTTCGTAATTTTATGCACTTTATAACATTTTTTCATTGCGTGATATTTTTGACAAATAAATCCACATAGAATCAAATATACACTAATACAGTTCCCAGTTTTGACTCTTACGACAGTGTTCAAACCAAGATTTTAAAATGTTTATCTTAACTTATTAAAGCAAATATATGTGAAAATGTTTACTTTGAATGAATAAGTAAATACAGTGACATTTGACTTCGCTGGTTATATATTGTCTTAACTGAACAACTAGGTCACCTTGCATTTACTTCTGTTGAGATTTATCGGGATTATGAATGATACAACAGTCAACTGCCAACATTTATAAGACCTTTTCATCGAAATGTGAAAGGTAAGTCGTGGATAATGAGTCAGAATTTATGCCTATGTACAATTTTCCTTAAGGTGGGATTAACGTTATCATTGATGTCATGAAACAGTTATAGGTCACTACCGCTACACGAATCTGTATATGTCTGACTTACATGCGCATTCAGGCTCAACAGACAAGTAATTCATTTATAATTCAGCCATTATATCCTCTCCATCATTTTCTTTTATATATTTTTTTTAGAATACTGCGCCCTAACACAGTAAAAGCTAATCCAATTCAGCGACCTAGTATCCTACTAAGAGGTGAAGAAAGTTTAGAAAATCGAATACGTGGATTGGGTAGTTTGTGTTTGAAAGAAATTAGCAAAGAAGAGTCATTTATTGAATGTCAAAAAGATGTGCATATACGTTGTCCACGAGGAGAGGTTTGTTTCTTTTTTGTTTTTAGCTTTTTCAACTACTATTGTAATTATTGACATTTTGCCTTCATCCTAGAAAAATTATTATGTGATTGAGAACTGCTGAGGTGTTCGGAACTAGGACGAAACAGTTATCTATTGGTGATAGATTTTCAATGATTGTTTAGTTGATTTTAATTTGTGGTGAAAAATAATTTGAAGCCTTCCATCCGCTGCAAACCACCGATTTAATCATTAAATGACCAACAAATTCTAGCAGTGTACTTGGAAAACTCTTCGACTCCATTACTCTCAAGAAACAATGACTTTAAGTGCAAATATAGATCTTAGGTGGAACAAAGCAGAATTCGTTTTGTTTTGGAGTCCTTGGTACTAAAAATGAGAATTTGCTAAAGGCCTTACAGGTTACGATTACAGATATTCCTTACTGTTCTTCAGTTATTCCTATCTAAGTGTAGCGTCACATAATTCTTCAAAAATCAGTAGCCTAGGGTTCGAAGAGATTCAGCATTAATTCTGACCTTCCTACTTTTTATCTGACTCACTAAGCTGAAGGCGCATAGTCAAGCATCCATGCTATTTGGTATGTTATCGTGTTACGTTGCACTGCTCGTAATCGGTCCTCTAGCTAGCTAGTTGGAACGCATTGGTATTTTGCCGCTACCTCGCAAATACACTATTCCATTTGACTACGCTATCGTGTTCTTCCTTGGTCTCTTATTTGTGGGTATATTACAAGTACAAATAATTAGTGACTGGCCTCTGCCACTGTCAAGTTCGCAAGAGGACAATTCTTAGATAAGCAATAAATGGGCGTTAGGGTTTAGAATGTCAATTTCAAAAGCTAAGTTAAAGCTTTTAAGTATATAGAGTTTAGTATTGGGTAATAAACTCGGAAAAGTTTGGTTTTTGTACTTTAGATAGGAAGTTCGAGTTAGGAGTACTGAAGTTGTAGTTTATTACTGAGGTGCACACCTTAGCAGTAAACCATAAGCCAAAGTGAGCTGCTTATTTCCAAAATAAAACTTTCTAATCTTTGTTGTGTTATTGAATATGATCTATCTGAATGAAGTTGACAGATATTTACATACAATGTTAAATAACTTTATTATATCTGTATAATGAAGCCTCTGTTCATTAGTTGCAAGTGGTTAAGTTTAATCTCGTACGTGATCGTTCATAATTCAAATTTGATTCTACTAACTATTCAGTTACACTTAGTTCATTCAACAGCAAGGAAAACATATAATTCATGACTCGTATGATAAGTTCTTAGTGTGCTTACCATAAACATAAAACAGTTATCATGTATAAGAAATAAATATGATGGCAGTTTTTTATCAAAATTTAATTGACCATTCTAGATGAGGTGCATAGTAGAAATACCTTGTCTTGTAGTGGGATTATTCTAACAGCTCAAAAGTATAACCATGAAAGACTAATTCAGAATGTCTTTTTGAAGAAAATAAGTTTGAACAAACAAGCCTTATTGCAATAGCTCAGAGGTACTGGATGTAAAACATTTACCTGCTACTCGGAAATTTTGGAATTAGCCATCGAAATGGTCCCATTAGGTAAAAAGAAGTTAGTAAAAGACAATTCACCGAAGAAAATTTTCTTTTCAACAAATCATTTTTAAAAGCTATACATCGCAATCATAGTTACAACGAAATGTGTATCATTGTTTAATGTATATTTTACTTGCGTAATCCCGGCGTAGTATATTGGAACAAATAATAAAACAAACATATATTTTGTATCATTCATCAACGTTTCCGTCTTGCCAGGAAGATCCCTTAAAAGTGTATGTCTCTGGCATTAGGTTTTCAGGTTGATATTCAAGTTTTGGTACAGAAGGTGACCTATATGACCATCCAATTACATTGTGATAAGGAACAAAGATCAGTATAATGTAGGTGAGTGAATTAGCAAATTGTTCAAAGAGGCTTTTTTTAACTTTGCAAGTAGGGTGGAATAAAACTAGAATGGTGAAATTTAGTTCGATGTTTAAAACTAGTCATTAAAGTGCTCTGTTTCCTCAAAGAAAATGATATAACCTCCGGTATTTGAATCCTAAGTCCTAAAACCTTTCAGTATCGGACATAATGAGTAATGAGTTTCGGCTTCTTGTCCCTAATACAAGCGTGAGTAATGTGACAATCGTTACTTCTTGAGATGGTCAAACAGTAGTGCTGAAGTCGAATAAAGTAGTCACTTGAGTGTATGAAGTGGTACAACATAAAGAAGCTGGCATTAAGACACACTTTTAATGCACGGTCCAGATTTGATGATTGGATTTAAAATCAAACAAATGGTGTCTCCATTAAACCCTTTCTTGGTTGACATCTGCATAGAAACTTACCAGAATAAGCCGCTGAAATAAATAATCTGTATAGAAGGTATGTGGATTATACTTCACTTAGTATTGAAGAGACCTGCTAGGTTGATAAACTGCTTAGTCGACCCAATGACATGGTGCTACAAAAGAGTTGATTCTTTATCTACTTCACTTTAATTACCAATTCTCATGTTATCATTGTATCTTTTTAGAGTTGCGGCTTCATTATTTATAGGTGGCATAATTTTTTTCAGAATGCTGCTTCATCTGCATATAAACCTGTTTAGTTCTGTAGAAGTCATTTTTGGTCATCATTTGAACCTTCTAGTATATTGGCATCTTTTCAGTTTTATGGTTGTATTGTCCTCAGCTATTCATCTAGTGCTCTTTCTTCCGTTGAACGTTTGTTAGTCCTAAGCCTTTTTCCTTACTCTGGGGATTTGTGAATTTCTGACATTTTCGGCCATGGTTTGTTGTGAAATCAGCTGTGTTGTTTATTTTGTTTATTTACTTTCTGTAAATTGCTTTTAGTGGCAAGACCGGAGTTCAGCAGATATGGGCAATGAATGAGTATCAGGGTCTCAAATCATTATATCAGACAGGACAGGATCCAACGTCTCGCTGGTTGAAATCTGCTCGAACATTGGTCTCCCTTTCAAGATTTAAAGTTGTCATTAAACGATACAGTACCCTCAGGCCCATACCACAGTTAGATAACAAGTCAACTCCTACAACCTGGGATTTGGGTCATAGTTTCGGTCATCACTCTCGCATAACATCAAACCTAATAGGCCAAGCTAAGCATGTTCTGTCCTGTGTGAACACCAAAATGAAGATCTAGGCTCGTACAGCCACTTAGGGAGTAGGTAAGATTATTACTTCAAGACTAGAGGAGATTCAGGCCTATTTGCGTTCAGTCCTAATCCAGTCGTAATCAAAGACACTGAACCTTATCACTAACCTGTAAACCATACCAGAGATATAGGCAAGCACGTTGGGCAGCTGGGCTCCATTCGTAAACGGGCAAGCAAATATTCACAGATCTGCAGCCGATTCAACGCACAGGTAAACTCGTCGGTATCTATAGTTAACAAACCACTTCACCGCGCCACCTGGGTTTCTACACGTCGATGATTTAAGCGCGTCACTATGGAATGGCATTTTGTTACCTTAAGAAAATCACCAAATTTTAGGTCTTCATACAATTTTTCTTATTTATTAACTTGAAAAACAGCCTGCAAACAAAAAGTGCAGCAGGATGGTATATCTTAATCCGTATTATCGCAAGATAGTTTGGCGATTGTTAGAGCAGGGGCTTCCTTGAAAACTTCAGAGAAAGCTCATCGTAATAAACTTCATCTTATGGATTTTGTGCACCACTCGACTGTCTACCTACTTGTCAACAAGAAACTCATCGTTTTGCTTTCACATTTCTGGAAAGGAATTCACAGAAGGGATGATGGTTTGCTGCAGAGGTCAGTCGATCTCCAGCTAACCTGAACAAAACGTTCACCAACTTTACCAACTGAATATTTCTAGGTTCAAAACAAATCTCATTCATTGGCTGCTTTCCAGTTTTCTGAAAACTTTCTCAAAAAATGCAGCTGATGATCAAATTAAAGCTTTTAGAATATAATTGGATAATGGATATCATGTAAGATTTGCTGACAGAAATCTAAAGAAACAAATTGTCCCTCATCCAATTATTGTTCTTAACAAGATTTTATCATGAATTTGTAATTGAAAATGGATGCCGTAACTGAAGTGCTGGGAACCCAACCGTCAAAAACCATTGAGAATACTCCCTATTCCGCTAGTCTACATTTGATATTCTTGAACTCTTCTGTGATTCGACAGTGTGTGAAGCATCTACGTATATCCTGAAATTGACATACTCCTATGGAGCTGGCTACATTATACACGGTAATCGGGTCCTGCAGAAAAAGGTTGCCAAACACTACTGGTTTTGGCCAACCAAATATGAGCGATGAACAATAGCTTCGTCTATATGTGAGTACTTAACGGAATCATATCATTCAGCTCCTTGTGATTCATCTATAAAAAAATTCAGAAGTGTACGTTTTAAACATTCATGCATAACTCAATCCCTGGCCACCTATGATCGAAAGCTTAGACTTTGTATTCAAAAGTATTTTGTGAAACGTCTTTCTCTACTTTTGCCGTAAAACTAAACGTTTTTGGTTAATTTTAATCCACTTCGCTTTTTAACCTCAACTTTACTATCGCCATCGTTATCCTTTTTCTTTGACAGTACCTAACTCATATTCCCAGTACTTGAAGTCAGTTCTTCCCTTTCCAATGAATCTTTTTTGAATTCAGTTCATGTAAACCAGTTCCCCCAACCACATGTGTATCGTGTACATAGTGACTGAATGACTTTTGTATGAAACTATCTAACTTTTACAAGACATAAGAGATATGTGCAAAACGTTTCTGTGCACTAATTATTACGATCATAGCGTGTCTAGGGATGATAACGTACCCAAGCAATGAGATGTAACATCACTGAAAGTGACAAAAGGCATCTGCTGGGCTTCTTACTCCTAGTTGTGCTGGAAAACAAAATCTAAGAGGATTACCAGCAATATACTTAACTGGTCACTGAGGAATAGTTTGTCATGTTATCCAGTCCTAAATACTAACCGAATTCCATCGCTCGTTTAACAGTAGTGTGACCAAACATTGCGGTGCACTTTGATTGACATAACGTAACCAGTCACTGTTTGTCTTCAAGTCCTACTTGAGGTTAGTGACGGTCCAAAAAGCTCAGTTTGAAGGTATTTGACCGCAGCATTGGATGATGCAGGTTTGAATCTTTGAGTGAACATCAAACCCTTTGAGGTCACAGATACACTGAATTGATGAGTGCCAAAAAGTATGAAACCTGCCATTTACCTCCATAAGCTTGATAATAACCGTTTAAATCTTGTTGTCGCAGAGTTATTTAAGGCTTAATTTACACTCAAATAATATAAAATAGAATAATATGCCAAACTTTAGGATCAAATTGGGTAATTTGGAAGTTGGGTGCATGGTTTATAGAAAAATATATATTTGTTAAATCTCAGTGAGATAGAAAAATACATTTCTGACCTATCACAATCTTGTCAAAGCTGCTTCTTTAGAGAATAAAACCTGTACAAGATATTACATTTTTAAATAGTAAGTGGAGACATATCAGATAACACTGTTCATACATGATAAGTAGTACAGGTTTTATTCTCTGAAAAAGAGGCTTCCTGGAGGTGGGGAAATGTTAAGAATTTATTTCTCTGTCTCACTAAGATTTGACAAGTACATTTGCTCTATAAAATGATACAGTTAGAGTAAACAGTTAAAACAGGAAAGAAAGAAACTACTCTAGGAAGAGTAGTGATTATTTCTCATAAATGTAAAATACAGTCAGCACATGAAAACATGAATACTTCACAGCAACTGCAAGTGAAGGGCGTTTTCACAAATCCCAATTCTGTCTATTTTTTTAATAACTACATCATTTTTAAGTATTCACCTAAGAATATACAAAAGATTTCTGTTCTTATAATTACCTACTAATTTTTCTTTATACTGATGATGACTGAAGTCACAAAACGAATCACAGTTGCAAAAGGACCGAAACCAGTGAACTCTGGGTTACGGGTCTGATGCCTGACGAACTGAAACGGGGGAACCAAATACTAAACTAGTTTGAATTACAAATCACACACGGAGAGTTTTATCTAACACACAGAGGAGTGAATGGACTGTGCAATGTTTCATATTAATGACGGATAATGGCTAGTAGGGGAATCCAGGATGCGCTTTTAATATAATGGTTTGAATGATATTAGTTCAGTAGTACTGAGCTCTTTGGTTTGTTTCGCGTCCGGACTCAAGTTTTCTTCCTATTTTTATCATCACCTACTCACACTGTGATGTCTCTGTCAAACAAGGCTCTCTTAAATGATAGGATGAGAAAACATCTAGTAATGTATATCACCTCTAGAGGTGTAGTAGTAGTATTCACTTCTCTTTACGAACAAGCAGGTGTTTCTCTATTTTCCAATATATTTCAGGCCTTGAATAGCTTACAGAAGGGGAAAAAAGGTGTTGGTGTTAGCATCTTACTTAATTCAAAGGAGGATCAGACACCTATTGATGAACCACACAACCCACTTCGGTCTGTTCCATCAAACGAAGCCTATGCAAATTGGCAACGTGATAGAATTAAAGAAGCCAGCTCTATGGAACAAATTTTAAATCAAGGATGGTCATGGTAAACAATTTGTTCACTTTTTTAATCTTTACATTTAATTGTTATCACAGTAATCTATGAAAACTGTGGGGAATCAGTCATTTCGGTATGAAGTCATGCAATCGGTTCATTGACCAATATTGCAAAGTACCCATCTATTATACACCTAGGGTTTTCACCCAAATCTTTTGACTAGTGAGCTTGAGAAGAGCCGGAGTAACGGTTTGGGCAGAATAACATGACATTATTTTCTTTCATCGGTCTCTTTTCAGCTGCTAACAACCTACTTTCTGATATATTAGATTGTTCATTTAATATTTTGTACAGTGAAACAGTATTGTTCATTGAATGCCGTTTCGAATAGAATTTATTGTCTATATTCACATCAAAGGTGACCTTAGAGGTTTCATGTCCTATTTTTACAGTGCTATTTCACCTCCCTCTTCATTTTTCACATAGTTAATAGAATTTTTCAAACATCTGGAGTGTGTGTTGAGTTATTTCTCTAGCGTATGTTCGATGTCGACTGAATAAACGAAGCTTGAGTAACGAATCTTTCCCTCTAACCTAATAAGTTAGTTTTATGGACTATCTCCCTATCCCATCTTTTTGTGTGGTTGTTTGTGATTACACACATTGTAATAACTGAGTTTTTTCATAGGTTCCTCAGGTTACTACAGTTTATCATTTTGTACTTTGTTATTCAGCTGACCCCGTTTGACTACTTTGACCTATGTACTCTACCCCATCATCGTTGCCTGGAATTCGACAAACTAAATTATTTTGTCTAGTAGGCTCTATGAGATCTTTTTATTTACAAAGCTTGTTTCTTGGTTAGTTCGTAGACTTACAGGCCATCTTAATCCCAGATTTGTTAAGAATCTTACATAAACTTTCTGAGGTATCTTCCTTATACGGTAAAACCATGGAGGCTTAGGATTCACGTTGCTTGATGTTGCCACTATTATTATCGAAGTCATCTGTGTTTGTGCTTCTCATCTTTTTCTTACAATTTCTCATACATTTCTGTATTACTTTATGAGGATAATTATTAGGTATTTGGGTTTATTTTATGTCTTATTTCTTAGTGTAGATTTTCTCCTTTACTGCTGAAACATTTTGCTACACTACTTAAACATTTCACTAAAACTATTTAAGCTGACATGGGATTAGATAGCCTAGAGTCTATGCACCAATTGGAATGAGTAGTTTTTCTGCAGACACTAGTATCTAAGATCCCATGTTATCTCCTTTTTATTCTACGATCCAGGTTGCCTAGTTCTCCATTATTACTCCCTAATTCTTAATTAAACTGGAAAACATCAGCAACTAAATTTTCGTATCAAAACTTTACCGATGTGTTCTGACTTTGACACCATAAATGTGTCATTCACATATCATGCCCACATTTTAGGAACAGAAACGGATATCCTAAGAGCTATTTGTTCGCAACTATCCATGAATATGTCTTCCGCTATTCGAGATATTGATGATCATATGATAGATCCCTTTTTTGTATATTTTTCTTTGAAAGTTGAAGACCGTAGAAGTCAAACGTAATTTTACTCCAATGTTGATTTCTTCAATTTGGTATATTGGTTCTAAGTGTAAGTTACTGCTCAGAGCTGGGCTCATTCTTAACTGCCTCTGAAGCCGTGTTAATTAGATTTTTATTGTATAGGCTGGTTACATCAAAGCTAACTATTTTTCATCAAATTCAAATTACAAGTTATCTGAATTTTGTTTAGGAAAATGAATTATCAAAAGCACCTGAAAGAGATGAGAAGGGATGAAACATTAAGGAGATTTGGTGTAACGATTATGATGAATATTATACATGAATGCATCTGCGCTACTAAAATGGTTTCTTAGCTATATTATCTGTAATTTCCAACCACTGTTTTCCTTTGCCTTACTCCTGATTTGGTCACCTCTAACCATCTTCCAGTCTAAACCAAACATAGCTAAGCTAATATTGTGAGGTGAGGAAGATGATGACAAGACAAGGATATCACGGTCCCATCTGTCTCAGTTGATAAATGTTCCCAAACTTGTTACCTGACTATAAGTTTATCGTATATATCACTGACGTAGAGGTCCAACAACATATGGTGAGTACTAGGAAGACGATGGTAATCAAATGCCTGAAGCGTTCTCTGACCTTCCACTTATAGCGGCTAGTTTCCCAGTCATATACTAGACGTGAACCATTTGATGTATTCGTAAATTTCACAGTGAATCAAGAAATTTACTTGTGACGGAACTGAGAACAAACTCCCGCTCTTCCAACAAACTGGTCAGCGCTTTGAACATTGATTGATGATTGAAACCTATCAACTTCACTAAAATTGCGAGAGAGTCTCTAAGATTCTGTCAAAGATCTTGGTTAAAGATAAACTGTAAAATACACTTATCATGCGTCGTGTTAAGCTAGATCAAAATGATAGTGAAGCTCTCTCACTTGATCTTAGGTTAAATATGTGAGGAAAAAACGCGAACAGAACTGATACATAGACTCAGTCTGAAAATTAATCTTCCCAGCTGACTGACCTACATTCAGGAAGTGAGGACAAAAGTAAATAGTTCAAGTGCAGACTTGCTGATATCGCTGATCAACACCTTATGTCACTATCGAAAATCTTGAAAGAACACCAGGGAAAGATTACAAATCTCAGAAAGAATGACAACGTAGTGATCTAACGACCAGATGGTGGTTTAGGTGTTGAGCTACTGGACATGCATGATTATGTTGCGAAAGTGAGTCGATTCTCGATAACACTTTGAGATTCAAAACTGACAACTGGAAGGACGATGTGACAGATGCAACAAGATGTCACAAAACTGCTTGGAAAACTCCTGAAGAACAAGCTGATACAGTATTCTGCACACGGTTATCTCAAACTTTGAGGTACTCATCGAACATACATGTATTACCTTGAAAAGATACGGAAATAAAAAAGTCATACTAGGACAAAATAGCTGTTTAATGCTCCAGGGTTTTCAATAGTTCACCAACTTATGTCAGTCCACGATAAATACTACCTAAAAATCAATAAGTCTTTACAAACCCCCAAACTAGAACCCATATTGTCAAGGATTGATTCGCTGTACAATGAAGTTGGTCACTGGCTGACAAAAAGTTGGAATCTGTTCGCCGACATCTTACCAAATACATCCTAATAAATTCTTTTCAATTTGTTAAAATGTTAAACTAACTGAGCGTCCCTAAAAAATATATAATGTCTTTTGAAATATTATCATTATTCACAAGAGTACCTCTCCAAAAAATCATGGAAATCATCCGCTAGTATCTTGATCGACTTTCTTTACGAATATATGAATTGGAATAAATTTTACTAACGTTCGGCCTCAATTTAATAGATCATCAAATTGATATGGTATCTACTGATAGCCTATCAAGTCCTCTATAGATAGATAAATTTATATAATGTCTTGAACTAATGAAGCTAAAGTGTACAACTGTAGGAGCTGAAATTTACTCCAAACATTTAGGGGATACATTTGTGTTGTGAGACAACTTGTGGTTTACATCTCATTGACTCAGATCCTTCAGTAATTCCCACAAGAACATCGATTTCATAATAAAAGATGAACATGATGGTAGATTCAACTATTTAGATATTAGCATTGAAAGTAGAACAGATGGTTTGCTCAAAAGATCTATTCACAGAAAGGATACATGGAATGGTTTCGACGTGAATTTCAACTAATTCTGTCCAGTTATTTATAAACGAACAATGGTTAGAGCACTGATCTATAAAGCGAAGATAATATATTCAACTGATAATTTGGAAGGTAAACTATTGATAACTGAAGAATGCCTGAAGGAAAACGGCTATTCCTAAACATCCTGCAACAAATGTGATAGAACGGAGTATAATAAATCAAAGAAAGTCACAGCCAACAAAAGGTTAGTCTTCGTTCCGCCTAATTATATAGGTGATCATATTACATAAAAAGTGAAATCAAGACAAAAATGTAACGGTCTGAAAGCATCCTGCTACTAGGTTGATCTCTGGGTTTTGAACAACTTTGACACTGGTGTATTTGAAAATGATCGGGTATCCCTCTAATGTTAGCTCCAGTTTTGTACATGAATACACGTGCATCTGTCAGAGTAAGTCGAAATGACAGAAAGAAAGATTTAACTCAGGTCTAGTGGACATATAATGAAATGCCTACAGCACCAGGCATCCTGTAGTCTCACAGTGCCATAACTAGCCGCTTAGTAGATAAAACAGACCGTGTGGAGGTTTTACAGTCTTTTATAATAATTAACAAGTAGTCTTGTTTGCAGAAAACTTTGTAATTTATCACATTTGAGTATAAAGCAGTACAATGACTTATTTTCTTCACTTCCACTAGTTTTGCTTTGAGTCCTACTAAACCCTTAGATATTGAACTTATCCACTAACTGAATTCCTGTTGAATTTCTATTGTGATCACGTATTAAATGTTTTATAGGTTTTTAGCAACTGACGGGAACATGAAGAAATAAAGTTGTCACATTATTTATTCTCCTGAATTTTTTGCTCTTACTTTCACCAATTTCATAAATGCGACTAAGTGCATAAAATTCTCAACTTGATACTTAGAACATCTGGAAGACTCTGGAATTTGCTGGGATAGTCAACAAACTAAACTTTATCATGCACACACTGTAGATATACTTTGAAGTCTTATGTGAAAAAGTCAATCCTCGTAGATCAAATGAAGACGGCAAGATCTTCATGAGCACATGTGTGACAGTTAAATAAGAATAGGGAAAGTGAACATCCTTGACGGATACCGATTGAAGTACACGACTCACTTGGTAACTCACTGTAGGTTTGACACGTCACATGTGTTCGAATACAGACCCATTAGAATGGAAATATACTTGCACATTATTCATTTCAGTGAGAGACTCTTATAAAACGTCTAAGTCAATGAAGTGAAATGCCTCCCTTCTGCCGACCCCTAGTGAAGAGTGCTGACACTTCCACATCAATTCCATTCTAATTGATTTGTCAGATGTATTACACAGTGGAAACGTATTATTTAGTGGATTAGGCTTCAGACCTAATTTATTGTACATACTCATATCATCTTGGTATAAAATGGAATTATATTCTGCCACAATGTTCAAGTTTTGCTCTTATATTATTGATATATTCACATCAAAGTCTGAAGCCTGCTTGATTTTCAAGGGGTTGCTGTTTCCAGGCTTTACTTAAATATCCAATAATTATAGAATCTAAGATACAGTGCTTGTCAGAGTGGTTTCTTTGTAATCTTCACTAGAGAATTTCTTCCCCTTCTCAAAGGCTGAACAATTAGTAATGGAATCACATTTGATTACAATACACCATGTGACACTCAATACTAGGTACCGGAATAGTAACTGAGAGCAAGTTGAAATGTCCTCCAAAGTGTTGCACGCACTATTTCTGTTGTCTTTCCTGCGAATGATTTACAGACTCATCCTCCTTTGTTATTTTCTCAGTAATCTCCGTCACTTATGTCTCAGTTTCCTTGATCAGTTTAAATAACTGTTTACTGTTAACTATCACGGCTCCCTTTTTCATCCTGTCGGCCTTTGCTTCCCACGACTTCTCATACTCATTGAGTAAACTCTTTGCCAGTCTACACGTGGGCCACTTCTGATGTTCATCGTGTTTGAAGCCTGCAGGAATATGTTAATGTGTATCCATTATTTCAGAAGAAACTGCTGTGACCCAGTGACGTTTTCCGAGGGATGCTGAAATCGTTTAACGCTAGTTTAACAGAACGTTGGAGATAACATCAGGCTTCATTGTCCTATTTTGATAACTCCTCAATCAATTTCTCTTTGAAAGTAGTTTTCATATACTCATCATAGAGTTGCGTTCAGAATGGTCTTACAGCTGCAGCTGTAGCTGTAGACATACATCTGCTATAATCAACAATTGATCACTTTCCAATTGTGTGCTACAGGAGCAACAGCAATCTTCCACCAATTTTCTGTAGAGATAGCTGATAGAAATGTAGTATCCACCTTTGAGTTGGGGTTGGTGGATGCCAAGTCAGGCAATGTTTCTCTCCATGTCTCAGGTTTTTAGTCCTCACTGCACCACTTAGTCGAATAATATACGAGCGACTGTCAGCCACTATCCAGTCGAGCAGTACATTTTCTAACGCAGCATATAAAGATATATATATATATATATATATATATATATATATATATATATATATATATATATAAAGATATACTGACGCCTGCAAGACCAGGACCAACCATAGAATCTCCGGAAACTTGAAGAGTGAATTTCTCATACTAAACATATCGATCGGATGGGGTTGAGTGAATAACCTCATTTAATTCATGCATGCGTGTCTTACAAAAACATCGCTTCGCCTCGAAATGCCAGAATTTTAGCCAGTTGACTATCTAGGCTTTATTAAGTAGGGTGCAGACACTGAAAGCTTCGACGTGTACTTTAGAAAATGGTTTAAGTAGACCTAAAATGCTGTTTTTGTCAAGTCAACGTTATCAAAGATTGCACAGTCAGAAGAAATTCAAGAGAATGCCTACTTATTAACAGAGAGAGAGAGAGAGAGAGAGAGAGAGAAAGAGAGAGAGAGAGAGAGAGAGAGAGAAAGAGAGAGAGAGAGGGAGTAAGGCGTGAAAGGTCAATGAAGATCTGAAGGAATTCGAGGGCTTACAGAGCTATGATGGCGGTTGACACTTTTCGGCTTCTAATATAGTGGTAATTTGCTTCTCCTTGAGGTGCCTGAAAAAGATATCATCTCGGTGGTAGTGGTAAATGACCTAAATGCCCAACGAACATCCGCTTGAAACGAGTCACACCCGTCTTTTTAAATAGTTTGAAGTTAGATTTTCAATACTATACCACTAGACAAGAAAAAGCCCCACAGCCGGCACCAGAAGACTGCAGGACATGCAGTGGTATGCTATTTTCAGGGTTGACCTACTCTAAATACACTCCTCCATAGAGAAGACAACCTCTTGCAATTCATGTATAACACCTTACTATTGTCAAACACCATCCAGCCAAGCGTACTACTTCACCAATAGCCCCCATCATAGCGTAGTAATTTACACTGAAACGATATATCCTTTTCTTACCACTATTTAAGAAGCCCTTCTGGTACGGTATGACCACAAAGGAGCGAGTGTTCCTACCATTATAGCTCAGCAATTTAATGTAATTTGAAAATCCGACTACTATTTCAAGATATCAACTCCCGTTGTGGTTGTACGGGAGGTCAATCGTGACCTGGATGTCTACTCCGACTGGGAGAGTAATGCTTCGAAGATGTCTATGGTCGATAAAAGGCTTGTAACACTCCTAAGTCAATAACGTTAATTAACTATAAACAAGCAAATGTGAAAAGAGAGTCCACTGTAAAGTAGTATTTTTTAATTATTTTACAGGTCATTCGATATCTTGTCGACACTCAATATAATTTAAGTAGACAAATACTCATCAAGATCTCTATCTTTTTATGAAACAACCGTTAGAAAAACACCTCAACAAAGCTGATAGAACCTCTCTAATAGGTGAAGTTGGAAAAATACAAGACCATATTACTACCTATACCTAGGCAACGTGTTGGTTCTTTGTTCATATCTTCAAATCCATGTGTATGTATAATCCACCAAAAAGTTTTGTTGGTTGTAAGGTCGAGAAACTTTGAGCCAGTCTAGTACTTACCACACAAAACCTTAGCACAATGATTGATTATCAAGGTTACAGAAACTCTAGCATGATTTTTCAGTTTTTGTCATCGCCTCTAATACTTCCCTCACTACAGATACTTGAAATTTAATTCAACCGATCATAAAGTTTTTAAACGTTGGTGTTAAATTTTACATGTAACTTTAAAACCTATTAGGAAATTATCGCTGAATGTGAATGCTAGTCAAACTATCTCAGATAGCTGTGTTTTGACAAACTAGTATATAAGATAAAAAGTGTCATTTGAAGATAAAAGAAAAAGCTGGGTTGCTGAGAGGTTCAAATTGGTAGAAAGGTCTCGTGGATCAGTTGCCATCAACTTTGAGGCTGGTGGTTCAAATCCTGTGGTGAACCAGGTTTCCACTTCATCTCTAATCATCTAACATAAGAGTGTTCAATCAATTTAATCCGAATATTTGAAATATGCATTTCTATCTTCTTGTGCTTTTCAGCAAAAGTGGTCTTATGAGTAAGCCAGCAGAAATTCAAACTTCTCATAAATCCCAGCCTTATTTTGATGATGAAACTGATAGAATAGATCATTCAGGCACACAAATGGCAGTAATTTTTGGGGTAAAGTCCGCATCGAATTCTTTACCGCAGTCGGACACTGGCATGAAAATTGCTCCTCGAAGTATTCCTCAGTCTGCAGCACCAAATGCTGCTCGTGAAGGAGCAGGCATGGCTGAACGATTTGGTTTAACTCAACGTGGACAAGAGGATACAGAGGAAACTTTGGAGACAAAGTCCAAAGCTACCTTATCTCTAGATATGTGGCAGTATGGAACCGGACCACGCGCTAAACATGAAGTATGTTTTCTTTTAAACAGTTTTACAAAAAGTGAAGTTTGGTATGCCATAATAAAAGATGCTAGTAAGATTTTTATCAACAAAGGCTTTACTTTATCATCCCAGATGAGGGGGAAAAATATCAGGGTGTAACGTTGTACAGCAGTACGACAAACTATATCACCTCACTTCCAAACAGCGAACGAAGAAGAATTGGGTAACGAAAAATAATACTTAAGCAGACGGAAGTATGTTAGAATAGGAAGAACAAGGGAAAAGAGGTTAGTCAAGATGATCAAAGTGCTAAAGATGACAAACAGTGGAGATGTTTGCATCATTGTGATACATTTCGGGCCATATCACCAGAATTATTTAACCTCTGGTTTCCAACATGATTAGGCCTTACTTCAGGAAGCGTTCACCTCCGTATATAGACAGAAGCAAAATAAACAGCCAGACAGTCGAATATAACACAGAACCATCCATCATTTAATATTTGGATCACCATACTCTAAAATAATTGATTTAGATGACAGTAATATAATTAGAAAGGTCGAAACAGTTTATGGAACGTGAATGAGGAATATTCTTTTAATAAGCCCCATATTATAAAAGTGAAATATGGTAGAATGCAGTTCTGCTTCATTTGATTTATTAGATGTATTCACACAGTGAAATAGTATTATGTATTTGATGATAGATAATAAAAATCTTGAAAACTGTTACACTGTGTATGATGCATCTAATAAATCAGCTAAAATGAAAATAAAACGGAATCACTCAGTGGGAAAACAGGCCAAGTTTAAGGCAAATATATTTTCAAAATAGATTGTAAGAGACTGTAAACAGATCAGTTTATCCCTTTTAGATGTATTAATCTTACAATAAACTGCATGCAGATAGAGAATGTAGTGGTGAAGTAAGGAAATAAAAATAAGGAAAACGGGGAAAATAGGAAAAGCCTTTAGTTTACTGAAGGCCAAGTGAGGAATAGAGGCTGAATGCCTTCCTTCTAAATGAGGAGTTCAGGTTCAATAAATCTTAAAGCTACGGCTTCAGCTATATTCAGCAAACGTTGGCAAGCTGAACGTGTTATTGTTTTGATAACACAATATATGATATCAAAGGATAAAATAACATCTGTGGGATACTGTGTGTCTACTAAGTGTGCTATGATGTAACGTTTCATGACTTTGACTTCACGTTTTCGAAATCAGTCTGGCAACTGTTCTTGTATCCCAAGAGACACCCACCTAGTCATGCACTATACGTAACTTGTCAAATAGGGTTAGTTAAACTGACATATGCAACATAAGGAACTAAGATTAGGAAGGGTATCTCTCAGTTTCGGATTGACATCAACCAATTACTTAAATATGTGTGAACGAGATCTAAGTAAACTTTCCATTTTCTGCTTGAGTTTGACTGTGTAACAGAATATAATTAAGAATATTCCCCTTGCCTTTTAGTCGCAGAAAGAGAGGTTTCTGTATTGGTGTCATTCACCAACTTCTGAGATTAACGTAAGCTCTGTTTGTTTTCATAAACTCAGTACATTCATTTTCATGGATGCACAGTAGTCCTTTCTTCACACTCTTTGAAACGAATTGATCTAACTTTGTATTGATTGGTCACATAGGTGCAACCAGCTTCATTTTTGTCTAGTCCTGAGTACAGACTGGATCCTATAGATCATATTTACAATGTGGCAACCAAGCTAGGAAGTTGAGCATCGTGGTGCACATTAGTAGATGTTAGTTGGTTGGAAGCAATCGGCAGGAAGCCATGGATCTAGGTTTCGTGCTCTTGGCACTCGTCAGCAAGGCGTATTTGCGACCTCGACGGAACTGATGTCCTGCCTGAGATTCAAACCCGTGTCACCCAGTGCTGTAGTCAGCGACTTTACCACTGAGCTGTTCTGGCCGCGACTGACCTCCTGTAGGACTGGTTTACATGTACTGATTGGTCACGCTAGTGCAACCTATTTCATGTTGTCTAGTCCTGAGTGCAGGCCGACTCCTATGGATCATATTTGCAATGTGGCGACCAAGCTAGGAAGCTAGGACATCAGTTCCGTCGAGGTTGCAGATATGCCTTGCTGACGAGTGCCAAAAAGCATGAAACCTAGGTCCAGGGCTTCCTGCAGATTGCCTCCAACCAACTAACATCATCTAACTCTAAACGCTAGCCATCTGGTTATGTTGCGTTTTTATTTCATCGATATGGAGCTGAGGAAGTGTACCTCAGTTATTGGTTTTCTGTATATACTTCGATTTATGGAACTATCCTTTCTTTTCACTAACACTGAGAAATTGTATGACCACTGATTTTACTTTCATAAATGATATATAGTTAGGGATGAACGCTGTTGAAATGACTTAATATTAGGTTCCTGCACAAACATTTATTAAAGACTGAAAAGAGTATCGGCAGTACAACAGCAGGATTGGAGATTTTTTTCAAAGAGCTTTGTTCTAATATCGCGAGAAACATATCTCCAAAAATAGGACCTAATGAAAATCCCGTAGACATTAGTACTAGCTACATTACAAAAGAGGTATAATCTGTTTATTTGATTTCCACTGTCTACTAAATGGGAAATAATAGCATTAATGACAGACTGACTAACTCCTTATCCAAGCCAAGGTGTGTTTACGAGTACGCAATGTTAAAATCTCCTGAGTGTGACCTACCTAACTTAGTCCTATGTAGGCAGTTAAACTGATTTACACACACTGAAGTAGCCGGCACTGGTAATTTGTCCCTAAAGCATTGTGCCGATACTGGTGTGGATGAAACTACTAATAAGCAGTTTGAACTGATTTTATGTTCTTCATATGGAACTGCTCAAACAGCATGGTATGTCAATAAAATAAACCACTATATATTTTATTGTCTTTCAAATGCCCTACTTTTCGGGGTGAGGTGATTACTGTCATCCTCTCTAATATGGCCACAAGTTAGTAACCTCCGGTATGGACATCCTGCTCAGTGCCTCCACATATCAGGAGTATTTACACCGAAATATGCGAGAGAAAGCGAATGTTTGTTACTTGTTTGCCGGATCGGTGGATATGAGCGGTCTACCAAAGACAATTGATAGACTGTGATTTTGGAAGAGCCGTGCACATAAGCTTCAGGATCTAGGACAAATTAGTGGCATCAGAACCTACCTCGGTAACCAGTAATAATAAGACTGCAGCAACTTTACTCCACTGGCTTGTGGATATAACGTAAAATCAAAGACTTCGATAATGGTCCCATAAGACAACCATTCGGGCGTCATGGCAGTATCACACCCCATATAAATCATGCAATAATACTGACAGTGAACATTTTAATGCACCACGTAAACGGTCTTGTGAGCAATTAAATTTACTTCATAACAAGAACCATACTCAAGAGTGCTGTTTACTATTCCATCATTGTTCGTTGGGCATGACAACTATACTTGGATTTTTTTAAATATTTTTCCAGTTGCACTTTATCCTTGTTTCACACAGTCAGTTATCGTCGATTGAAGTTCTTCATGTTTGGATGGTTTCGAATAGCCAAAAAGTGGCTTAGACAAGCTGTCCTTTGGCCCGATATTTCATTCAGCGACTCAGAAACCGAACTAACTACTTAAGCTGACAGCTATTGACTTTTGTAGCTTGATGAAGACCAGACAACTGACAGGTTTGGTTGCAACTCTGGAAAACCTGGTTATTGATGTATACTATGTGCCAAACCCTGACATACAAGATACCACTGAAGCTCTTCAGATAATATTTCCACCCGTCAGGCATTACCATGCGCCTATCTGGAGACTGTCTAGCATCATCAGATCAATTGCTGCACTAGTTGACAGGATCCTCATCAACAGTCAGTGCTGCTTGAATACAGAAGATTCAATTGGGATAATAAGTAATTAATTAGTTAGGCAATGTCTCCTAGTTATTTCTGGGTGGATCCTGACTGACTAAAAACTGGATGCAGTTGAGGGCGAGTCCTACCATCGCTTAAGTGACCTCTTCACCTAAGATAAGTTGACAGATATCGGATTGCTAGCTGGAAGCTAGAATGCAGGAGTCGGGCATCCACACTCGTCTGGTAGTAGTTCAGATGACCAGTGGAGATTTGATGGCCACAGACCGGATAAACAGGACCATATTCTACAGCTCCGTGTATTCTTCAACCTATTTCTAGTCAGTGCCAACTTCTGGCATAGGCATAGCCGGTTCTACTACCCAGCATCCTGTCTCCGAGACCGGAGCTTTGAATCAATTAGACCGAACTGGAATTACTTGCCGATGACACGGGTCTATTCAAGACCAGCACTTCTCATGAAGCATCTATCTGGATTCTGACTACTTTCAGTTGTTAGGTAAGTTTATCCTGCATTCTAATAGTCATCAAAACCGGAGTCCTAAACAGGTCAACTAAGGCGAACTGCTGAAAGTTTTGTACTGTAAATAAATAGAGAATGAAACTAGATTCCAAGTTATCTGTCAAACTTGCAGGAAATACAAATAACCATTGACTGCACCTATAGGGCACCATGAAAATGAAGAGCTTCACTAGTTGTGACTTCCGAGAACGTTCAGTCAGTTTAAGTTGCCAAAAATAAGAGTAGTATGCTAATTACTTAGTACTGTAGAGATCTAACCTCGCCTTAAAAATATCAATAGACAGTGCAGATACTGTGTGCCATGGTGGTTCGAAAATCCATGTGAGAAGCGTGTTTACGGGTGTAAACAACTCGACCGTTGCTTATGAACTCTTTGGTGGTGTCTCCTAAAATAAACAGTTCTAGAAGGAAGGAATAATAAGGGAAGTTTGAACGTAAGTCATTATTCAGGATCTGATATTTTTAAAAATGATCACCTCTTCATCCTTCTGTAAGCTTTTTTGACGGAGTGCATTTTTACTACTTTGGTTTCTAACTTAAGCACGACCGATAGCTGCTACCATGACATGGCGGTCGTGCCTGAATGTCACAATAACCCAATGAAGTACACTGGTTGAAACACTTGTCATCTCGAGGTCGTACCATGACAGAAAGGCATTCTTGATAGTGGTAGGATGAAAATCAGCAAACGTTTTAGTGCAAATTACTACACTATGATCGGACTTCGAGGTCGAAGTCTTACTTGTGCCTGGAGTGAGATTTGATAGCCGTAAAGTATATTTTCTGAATCATCAGCAGCACCATACTGATACTATCTTTCTGCTGGGAAGAAGAGGGGGTTAAAAATAATCGGCGCAAAAATATAAAAACCCTCCGTGTCCTACCATCTTCCGATGCTAGTGATATAAGTTTCCTATATCCCGCTTTAGAACTATAAAATCTCATACCAGCAATCCTCAGAAGGCTGCGAGTGACAGGCTCCAAGCAGATTTCCTATTCGCTCTGTGGTTTCACAAGTCATTTTCTCTTCCAGGCACCTTAATAAGAAATAGCCTTCCACGGTGTGGGCAGCTGGAAGTATCAACCGCCCATGCACTTCCAGCAGTACACAAGACACTATCAAACATAACCTGTCCTCCTCAACTCTCTCTTCCTTTGCCTTCACGTTCTGAAACTAATATTGGACCTTTTACAACTTTTCCAACCTCTCACTCCGCGATTATTGCCAACGATCAAAACCTATCGAAATCTTATTCTTATTCTCCTTTCAACGTCCTAACTCTATGAAAAATCGTGAAGAAAGAACTGCTTGAGAGAATTGTGGAATCCCGAGCTTTGGATGTCCTCTGTGTCTCTGAGGTACGTATACAGGACCCGAGTGTGTTTATCAAACTGATCTCACCTGGCCATTGTAGTGAATCTTCAAAATTCAGACTACGAGTATCCAAAGACTCACTGGCTAGCTCTGGTGAACTCTCTGGTGTGTGTATGGCACTGAGCTATACGGCAAAAGTGCGCTTCTCGTCTGGATACCAGTCAACAGCCGTCTATGTTTTTTTCAAGTGAATGAATCTGTAAATCAAGGAAGGATTGTAAAACTAAACGATGCTATTCGTAATCACCTATGCACACAGCGATTGCAGCTCGAATGATGCAAAAGAGGAATTCTATGAGAAGGTGTCAACCTTGCTGAAGAAACCCAAACGTTCAGATGTGTTCATAATGGCACGTAACTTAAACGCTTAAGTAGGGAAGCTGAGTCAAAAACGTAAAGGCATCTTGTGAGTTTCTGCGGAATCCAGTGTCAACGAATCGACAACCGTGATCGTCTATTGAAATTTTGTTTCGACAATCCCTTGTTTCTGGCCAGCATTAACTTTAGGGATAGTGAAAGACGGTATCTCACATGGCATCTACCAGCATCGAACTAACAATGGACACAAGCAGATCATA